TATAAATCAAGTATAAAATTTTTTCTTAAATAATATAAAGTAGATGTTAAATTTGACATTTCATATTAGTTGCACATCATTGAGATGCAAAATGTTTAATATATATCAAGGCATGAAAAATCATAATTTTTAATTGAAAAAAATCCAAAAAAGTGTTATTATTAATTAATTTTTTATTTTTTTATTTTTTTTTTAGGAATTGATGAATTGCGTGTTTCGATTGTTGATAACAGTGAATTACCAAATGTTCGACACTTATCTAATTTATTCTTTGTCAAGGAATATTCACCAAAATTGAAAGTTAATACGCTAAGTGCGCTTTGGGCACATTTTGTTTACACAGATTTAGTACATATTGGAAGTCTTCAATTGATCGATGGTTTGAATTAAAAAATTTATTTTTTTGACCTGATTTTGAAATTTTGCACATACAAAATGTTTATTGTAATATTGCTAAATTAAATTGCAAACATGTATAATATTGAAGAAGAGCAATATTGATTGATTTCTTGAGATAAAAAATTGCAAATAATTTCAGATGAAGAGAAAATTCAATCACCGTGTTGTGCACCACAATTTAGACATCACCCGGAGTGTAAATCAATTATAGTGCCAAAAAGTGATCCTAGCTATCAAGATTTCCTAGATTGTTTACCTTACACGCGTACTACTCCAGCACCACGACCAAACTGTGAACTTGGTCCACGTGAACAAGCCAATCAAGTTACTAGCTTTCTTGATGCTAGCGTTATTTACGGTAGTACCGTACAACGAGCACGTGCATTAAGGACATTTAAAAATGGTAAGTATATTTGGAGTTTTTTCAATTTTTTTTTCTGACAAAACTAATAAATTCAATAAATAATAAATTATTAATGTTACATATAATCCGTAGAAGAATTACTAATATCATATTAGTCCGGTTAATGCTACAATCAGAAATTCAGCCAACTATCAAACATTGTATAAAGATGAGAAATAAGCAAATAAGAACAAATATGTCTAGCAATTATCATTTGTTAATTAATGCTCCTAATAATATTTGCGAAGAAGTTCTAAAAAAATATTATCACCAAAAATTAATATTTTTATTATGATAATCAATAATAATAGCTAAAAAAATAACTAATTTTGCTTGAATTATTCAATATTTTTATGTATGTTCCTTTTTTTTAGGTCATCTATTAACAAGTTCCGATCCACTGAATCAAAATATGCCACCAACAGTTAATTTATTATGTAGCATACTAAAAATTACCGCTGAATGTGATTCAAATACTAAATATGATTCATTCGTTAGTGGTTCCGATCATATAAATTTTTTGCCATCTGTTGTTATTCTTTATACTATTTGGATACGCCAACATAATCGAATTGCTACTAATTTAAAAGTAATTTTCAAATTTTTATATTTTTATTGATTTTAATCGATAGTATGAAAAAAAATTGTCGACACTATTTTGAGAAAAAAAATTTTTTTTTGATATGTCGCAATATTTCAGTTTTTTCAAATAACAAAGAAAAATAAAAAAGATATTTGAATAAATTTAAAAAAACTTGACAAAATCTAGTAAATTAATTGGTTTGCTTCGGCAATTCAGTTATTTCATAGCACAATCTTTTTAATTTTTTTCTCTTGAAGATATGATTGAATTAATAATTATGCTAAAACAGGAATTTTAAAAGTAAAGTTTTAAGAAAAATTTTTGATTAATCTACTCAATCATCATAATATTGAAAAATTTTAATCGTTGAATTATTTACATATTAGAAATGAAAATATCAAAATATCTTCATTTCTTGGTTTTTAATCTTTAATTAATTTTAATTATTGTTAATGTGACTTGTAGAGAGTAAATCCGCATTGGTCAGATGAGCAATTGTATCAGGAAAGTCGACGAATAGTGATCGCACAATTGCAACATATCACTTATAACGAATTTCTGCCCATTTTGATTGGCAAAGAAAATTGGTTAAAATTTGAATTACAACCAAAATCCTACGGATACGGTAAAGAATATGATCCTACGGTGGATCCTACTGTCATCAACACGTACGCTGCTACTACCGGACAAGTTTATTTTTTTTTTTTTCATTTATCTTAACTTGTCATTTATTAGATAATATGTTTGAAGCAATGACTATTATATGAATTTTTAAATTTTCAAATAATTTTCATGCTATTATTGGAATAATTTATAATAAAAAATATTTAAAGTAGAAATTTTCATCATTTCATTTGTATTAGCATTAGAAATGATTATCTTATTGATCAACATTTTTTTTTCCTGGATTTAAAATTTTGAAATTTCAAAATATAATTTATAGTTTTTTTTCACAATGTTTGGCAAACATCTTGCATGGCATAAAAATGATGAAATTGAAATATTTGAACGACCATTGAAAGAATATTTTAACTATCCGGGTTTACTTTTTTCAACCGATCGAATTAGAGGAATATTGAGGTTACTTCTTTTTATTTTTCACTATGACAAACAATGATATGTATGCATGTAATCTGATATGATTGAATACTTTCCCTTGAAGAGAAAGAAAATCGTAAAAAAACCGAAAGTAAAAAAAAAGCTATTCAAATTTTTTAACAGAATGTTTCGATTATTTTTCAATTGAAACGAACATTAATCGTAAAAATTTTCAATTATTAT